TTGGGGAAATCTCAAAGAGAGGAATTAGGGAAGCATCAGCCGAATTTGGGAGATGATCGAGTGAATTTAGGGATTGAAAGGGGGCTAGGGATTGATTTGTTATCTGAGGAATTGGGGAATTGAAGTGAAGTCATGCAATGGATAAAGGGTAATGAGATACGAGCTGGTATAGGTGGGTGGATTGCGTAGTTGGGCCTATCTAGACTTAATTCAATTTAAGTTATGCATGTGGGCTTTTACGTTTGGGCTTGAGTTTGTTAGATAATATCAGGAAAGAGGCGGGAAATGGTGAGTTAGCATCTAGGTAGTTAATTTGTTAGACATCTGGTACTTGTTAATATATAAATTGTACCAAACCCTTTTGGGGATATCTTATGAATGAAATTGCAAGTTTTATGTATCTATTTCTCTCTAAATTTCTTAAATCCCTAAAAATTTCTCTACTATTTGATCCTAAAACATAACAGGTTCATACTAAATGAACCTAGGTCCCACAAAGAGTAAAAGCTAACAAATAAAAATGGGACATTAAGACAAAGCAGGGGAGAATAAAATGTATCTGGAGTGAAGTGATAAACTTACAGAATTGTCATCTCCGCAATTTCAGAAAGATTAAGAGAATTTGCCTTAGCGAGGTATCTGGAGTGAAGTGAGTTCTTCAGCAGCAGATAATGGAGGCCCACCGAGGTCGCCAAACCCAAGCATCTTAGCAAAATTCCAACCACCTCGGGCTTGAGCAGTTTTTTCCCCATCGTTCTTAGCGTCTCTGATCAGGATCTTTCATCAAGGACATGAAAGCAGGATCCAAATATGTATCCAAGTAACTTGAGTTCCTGAAATATAAACAATTATTTGACATGATATATTAATGACATCAAATTGAAATAGACCATGATCATTTATCATAATCAAAAGCAGCACAATAATTGAAAGAGAATGCCTGAAAACAGCCATAAAACTACATGGAAACTAAGAGAAGCAATAGTTGGTTACATTTCATGAATCCTAATTATCTAGCAACTAGACATAAGTAAAATAATAAAAAGATTTACTTCTTGCTTTAGTAATATATTCCTTAAAAGCTATTGAATCCAAAATTTTGAAAAAACAAATCTCATGTATTATTACAGCATGTAACAAGTGCATGCATCCACATATGGCAACAGAAAAGATGAACTGCGTCATTTCTAGAAAAGGGAAGAATGATTAGGTACATATTTCATCCAACATATTTCCAACCAACCTCAATGACGAATATAGCTTTGTGTGGGTATTCATATCTCAACATGCTTGCATGCAGTTTGAAGAGAGAGAGAGCAAATAAAACGACGGAGAAATGTTGATGATGCAAATGCAGAAAGGACAGGCAAAGCAAAGCATATTTCATAAGGTTTGTAGCTAGTGGAAGTGTTGATGATGCAAATGTATGCATACGAGTAACAGTGAGTGAGTGGCCAAGAGAGACAGAATTACAGAAACACTTCAAAATTTCTTAAAAAACAATCAGGATTGCAAGTAGTAGTCACCCAAGCAAGAAATATGCTTAAGGCGAATCCAAAATATTGAATAGAAACTATTCTGGTTCTAAGTTAAACTTGCTATCACGAGAAACTGCTTGGAAGGAATCCAAGGCTTTGATTTGTTACACCTTAGTCTCTTACAGATATTAATCATTAAAATGTTGGAGAAAGAGCATATTAAACCAGAACTACACAAAGTTTGAAATATAGATAAACCTACATTCCAATATCTGCACATAATTATGCGCTTTTCTCAATCTGGGACCAAGATGGATATAATAAGTACAGAAAGGTTAATCATGAAAGGAATTAACTGACCTTTGTACCAAACCTACATTACTAACGGGGAGTTCAGATGAAGCTTGGACAGGCTTTGGGATAGTCTTCTTGGGCAATGGCTTTATTCTGATTGAACGCTCATGAATGATAGTCTCACCATTCTCATCCCCAACATCAGCAGGAAGCTTGGATATGGCCACCACCTCCTCGTGCTTATCTCAAGGAAAGTAAAGCAGAAGCAATCTGAAATTTACAAAATCAAACGAGAAGATACCTCAGGTCTATAACATTTAAAGAATAAGCAAAAAAGAAAAATAATCATAAAATTCCTCAAGACATTGACGGTGCGTTTGGTTCACGGAATGTAAGATTACCAGTGGGAATAAAAGATTACCAAGGAATAAGATTACTGAGAATGTTACATTACTGTGTTTGGTTGGTTTGGCAGGAATGTAATATTACAGTGTTTGGTTGAAGGAATAAAAGATTACTGGAATGTATATTTTACTAAATTGTCCTTGTTCTATATTTGTTTTTTAACAAATGAAATTCTAAATATTTAAATAAAAATTATTTATATAAAAATTCTATTTGTTGATAATATATTACTTGAGTATTTAAATATACATGTATGATTTTAATTTTAATTAATATTAAATTTTATATAATTTATGTAAAAATATATTAAAATTTTACATTAACATTTAACTAAATGTTTATATTGTGAAAATTCTTCATAGATATTCATAATAATAAAAAAGATGTAAATTATTTTTGTTATCTAAGATATAATATTTATTATATCTTCTATATACAATAATTTATTTATTTATCTTTTATATTTATACTTAATTCTACATACTTTATCATTATTATTTATCTCATTAATTTATATTACAAAAACATAATTCAAATAAGTAAGAAAATATAACACTAAAAATCATATTGTCTATAATTCTATATTTCACCGTCATTCATCATTATCTTTGCTAATATTTTAATAAAATTATTAATACTCGGTTCAAATCTGATTTGTACTTAACTCTTGATTACGAAAAGCAAGCAAGCCAATAATATTCAATCCTAATCTAATTTGTACTTAACTCAGCCATAAAATAATTTGTTCATCCGTCTTTTTTATTTCAATTTTGGTTTTTAAGTATAGTTTTTTTCGGATTTCCAATTTTATAACCACTAGATCACCCGACTCTCAATTGAATTGGTTCGATTGATTGAATTAAAGACCTCGAGACCTTGTTTGGATGTACGTAACATACTAACAGAGAAGTGCAAGCTTTGAGGAGGCCGGGGAATGCATGGGAATCTGGGTGTGTTGGATTTGAGCGTGGATATGCAGGTGGCAAGGACTTCATTGTGGGATCCTTGTGAGGAGAAACTGATTTAACGAAATACTCAAACTCGTGTACTTGAGGTTAATTTTCCAACCGAACAATAAGAATCGAATTTCAGATCAAACAATTACAATTTTATTAGCATTATTTAGAAGGAATAAACAAGTTAAATGGATTCTACTATCAGTCAGTGTATTCTTTCTCTCGGATCAAACCACATCAACCCGGTGTAACAAAATAACAACCCGATGATTATGTTTAATAACAATGCAGCGTTTCATTTCTTCTTTGGATATTCCCTTGCCCCAAAGATGGTTGATCCAACTCTGACATTGGTACTGCCCATTTCAATATGCGGAAACAATGAGACAATCCATTAGACAGTCGTTCTCTCGTAAGCTTTAAAAGAATTGAATGCTACTTCTATGGGGTTTGGTTAGGGAATATGACACAATAGGTACATGAGTATAAAGGTACAACCCTACAAGAGTTCTCGAAATATATGAGAAACTTCGAAAAAATTAAGTATACTCATATCTAACACACCCAAATTTGAGTAACATAGCATGGTTTTGTGCACGGTATGTGGCAGGAGCACATACATTGCACAACAATGTTTTAGTACTAAAGCATAGACAAAGCCAATTGCATACAAATATAAAGTTTTCCTTATCTAGATGGTAATGGGAAAACAATCCTTACAGCTAGCTCAAAGTCGCCAGACATTCTCATTGACAGTTCACATTGTTCTTCTGGTATTCCAAGAGCCTTGCAGACTTCACTTCGGCAATTTGTTAATGTCTGGGTATCAAATAAATATTGTTAGAAAAATAAAGAATCGATTGAAAAGGATGGAAAAATCGAGATAAGAAGTTCAGCCACCTTGAAATTCTCTGGAGTTGATGTATAATCAGGCATCCCGATTGTCATCAATCCACAAAATTGAAGATTCGGGCAATTTAGACTAACATGTTTTGCAAGTTCCACACAACCTGAAGGCTCAACACCAGATTTTGCTGCAATAACATGATGCAGGAAAATACTATGAAAACGATCTCCAAGTGTTGATAAAAGGAGCTTCTTTGTCAGCAAATATACTTGACCTAATCTAACTAGGTACTTAGCCCCAATGAACTAGGTTCCAATAGCCATGTTGATAGAGCATAGTACGGAACTAGAAGCTAAAGAAACAAGACCAGTTTTATCTAGCAAACTTAAAGACAAATACATGACAACACGCTTGAACGTGCAAAGCCTTGACACAACTCAACGAAAAACAATATATTTTCGTTGTAATAAAAATAAATTTACTTACATTCCTCTCCACTGGTGTTCACCTGGACTAAGACTTTCAAAGTTTCCAACCGCACGATTAAGATGATTTGTAATCTGACCCAAAATAAGGAAGATGCTCAGTTTAATGAGGAAAAAACACAAATACTTGGCCACATTATGAATGTTGTTATTGACACTATCAATTGAAAGCTTTGACATAATGATTAATGATATAAGAAAACAAAATCATATAAGTCATTCTCGCTAAAACTAGATTCAAAATTAGGTATAAATTAATTAAAAAAGTTGTCTCTAATTCTGTCTCCAATACATAAAGGAACAGTTTATAGCAATTATACTAATGGAAATGAACAAAATTACCTTCTCATCATCTACAGTTTCCACCATGGCGAGGTTCGGCACAGCAGCTGTATAACAATGAATAATAAGTAAACACACAACAAACATTGCCCTCCAGCAAAACCAAATGAAGTAAAAGTTCAATTTCAGATACCCATTAAAAAAGCTCAGCTTAAAAGCAGTAATAATAAACTATGATGTAAACACGGACATTTTAATCGAAAGTTCCTAAAAACACGTAGCTTTGCTTACCAATCAAAGGTTTCAATTTATTGCTCTGTAAATTCCCAATAAAATGCCACTCTATGTCATCCGAAAGCTGCGATTGCAAGCACGGAAATGATTATTACTTCGGTACTTTATCATTTTCAAAATAGAAATAATTTTTTTGACTAGTTTGATGCTTTTTCTTTTGAATGAAGTGGAGGAAGAACCTGAGGGGCTTTCTCGACAAGTTCTTGGACGTAGTTTTCGTCGAAACATCGATGACCGGTGTCGTACACTTGGCGAACGAGGGAGACGGGTTTCGTTTTACTGACGGCAACGGCGCAGATCCGCTGCGATTCACGACCACATTGCTCGGCGACCTGTTGGACTCTCTGGAGAACTGACCGGAGAGCCGACGCTGCTATTCCGTCAATCACCGCCGACGAGGCTGCCATCTCTTGTTCTCGTTGATGTTGTGGGTAGAGATCCGGTTTGGACTCTTCCAGATTGTTCATCAATATTTGTGATTCTTATTTCCTTCGCTATTGACTGTATTGTCCAAACCTAATTAATCTCAAGAAAATATGTTTTCCATTAAAGAGGTTTACAGATCATCTAAAGAAGAACCGAAAAGATGAAACTGAAGAGAGGGAAGAAAATAACAAAGAGAGCGCGAAGGCAAAAACAACGCTTGGGAGAAAATGAAGGGTATTTTAGCCCAGCACATGGGAATAAAATAATACCTAAGAAAAGTAAGGGATTAACATTCCCGATAAAAGGAGAGAATTTTTTATTGTTGGAAATATATCATTACTCCCTATTGGGAATATTTTCCATCCAAACATGGAAATTTAAATCTGAAAAAAAAATTCCTATCAGGAATCTTGAATTCCATGATCCAATCACCCCGGAAGGAATTACAACAATGCATCCAAACAGAAAAGCCATCTCGGCAAGGTAATAAAAATGAAAAATAATAGTATGATACCTCTTGTAGATCTCAGAATCAGATGATGTGCTAATGCAAAAAACAACAGCTGTAATTTTATATTTCTGCTTTTCAAGAAATCGGCGAACAGTCCCTAAAGAACAGGAAAAAAAAGTTGAACCCATAAACATATAACCTCCAAAACAGTTTAAATAACATATCATATGAAAGACAGGCATGTAAACCCAAACACATATTTTTTTCAAAGAGCTTCAGTCCTTGTCAAAATTATGCATTAAGGTGAATATTTCGAATGAAATGTATCTCAGTTGAAAGGAATGAGTGTTATACAAATGTAAACGGCCCCAAAACATTGTATTTCCTATAACACATTGAATAGTCAATAAAATTATATGCACAACCCATTTCAAATATTCAAAAAATAACATCTAATATTACTTTTCTCTTTCATTTGATAAGAAAACCATTTCAAAATACCTTGGATGTTATCAGGGCCGGCCCTGAGCCCAGGCGAGGGGGGCGACCGCCTAGGGCCCAGGTTTGAAGGGGGCCCATTTTTCTCAAATATTTTTAACTTCTCAGAGCACAAAATCACGAATCTAGGAAAAGCAGGGGCCCATTCTTCTCAACAATCTATCTTGTTTTCTATATTCTAACCCCAAATTGAAACTTTCAATCCCTAACAGGCTAACACCACGACTATCAATCTGTGCGTTGGTGCTTTTGTATTCAACCCACCTCAAGTTTATTGTCAATAGAGGCCTGAATCCATCGTACTTGAATGATTTTGAGCATTCAGGGTTGCTTCTCAGTTCTCATGTTCTTCTGCTTAGATTCCATCGCTTTGCTTTCGGAGAAAACGAGGTTAGTCATGGTGTTTTAATCAGTTCGTAGACTTTCTTTGTTATTTGATAATGATTTTTATGTTTTTTTTTGTGTGTGTAAAAATATGAATGAAATGGAAAGAAGAAGAAGAGGGGAGAGGATCAATCATCAATGGACTTTTGCCTTTGATTTTGTTTACTTTGGAATAACCGACACACAAGATTCCTTTTTGTTGAACATTATGTGAAAGCATAGAAAACCTGCTTTTAATTTTGAGAATCAAACATGACCGTGGACATTAATCAAGACAATAATTAAAGAAATTGCTTTTAGGAACAAATCTTTCTCTTGGTCTCACTTTTTGTTTTATGAATAGTTTAACAGTGCATGTAATGAAGTTGCTGCCAAGTCACTTTTGTTTGCCCTCACTTTGCAGTTCCAACCCTTTTTTTCAGGAAAACACATGGAAAATTTTTTTCTTTTTACTGCTTGATCAAAAAAATCTTGAACCTCCATTAAACTGATATAATCATGCTTTTGACAGAACATGTGTGAACTAGGTGGTCTCTGCCCTTGTTTACTTTACATAACAATAATAAACTTTTTCATGGGATATTTCATAATGAACTAATCCAAAATGTATCTTAGTTTGGCAAACAATGTGTTTTTGAAAGGTATAGAGCCGTAGGGGACAGGAGGGAGGAAGTTATAAAGGTTTTATAATCCTAGATTAATGCTTCAAAAATTCAATTCCATCCCCATGCCTAATAATTAATAAACAAAACTGAAATAATGAAATAACTAATAGCTTAATAGCTCCGCATCCTCCAAATGTGGGTAACAGTGTGATACATGTTATTTAAAAGCCCTTAATTTATTGTATCCGCTCACTTGCTCTCTTTACTTTCTCATTTCTAGTCCAATTCGCTCTCATTTCCAGGCTTTATTTAAAAGCTCTTAATTTTATGTCAGACTCTATTTTGATAAGAGATTTTATGTATCCACTCACTTGCTCTCTTAATGATGTTTTTATTTTGGTGTTCATGTTATAACTATTAATATTTATGTCAACAGTGTCAATTATCAAATTAGGAATTTGGGATTTTATCTTACTCCAATGGGTTACAATTCTAATTGAAGAATCCAGGTGCAATTGTTCTTTTCTTATACTTTTTTTATAGGAATCTTATACTTATTTATTAGAATTTGTTTGTGTTTGACTCTTTGATGAGATGTTGCCTAAAAAACATTTGTCTGGAAGTGAAAAAAGAAAAAAAAGGAAGCTAGAGGAGGAGTTAAAGAAGTCACAAAAAGGTGCTCTTGACAAATTTGTGTTTAAAAAGGATGATTCTCATGAAACTTTGAATCAATCAACTGAAAATTTGCATACCGAAAATCCTGAAAATGTGAATGATGAAGTGAATGATCCAATTGACTTTAATGATGTGCCAATTGATGAAAATGTTGAAAATTTAGGCATTGGTGAAGAAACACTTCCTCATTTGAATATATATGATCCTATAAATTGGGAGAATCTTGACAATAATACGAGGGATATATTAGTTGAAAAAGGGCCCATAAGAGAAATGGATCTTGAATTTCCTGTTGATAAATATTATAGACATTTCTCATATGCATGTTATTCTAGAAAGTTGAGCAATGGTGAGACTAGTGATAGAAAATGGTTAGTTTATTCCAAAAATGTTGACAAAGTATATTGTTTTTGTTGCAAGTTGTTCAAATCGATTAGTAATGTAAGTTTGTTAGCAAATGATGGCTTAAGTGATTGGAAACATATTAGCCAAAGGCTTAAACAACATGAAAATAGTGTTGAACATATGACTAATATGAATATTTGGAATGAATTGAGAGTAAGATTGGATAAAAATCAAACAATCGATAAAAATTTGCAAAAAGAGATTATGAAAGAGAAAGAACGTTGGAGACAAGTGTTACAAAGAATATTCTCAGTTGTGAAATGTCTTGCTAAACATAATCTTGCATTTCGAGGATCTAATGAAAAACTATATCAAGATAACAATGGTAATTTTCTGGGATTGATTGAAATGATTACAGAGTTTGATGTCATTATGCAAGATCATGTTAGACGCATTCAGGATCGTGAAATTCATTATCATTATCTTGGACATAAAATTCAAAATGAGTTCATTTCCCTTTTGTCTCAAAGTGTGAGAAATTCTATCATTAAGATCATTAAAGAGGCTAAATACTTTTCCATAATTCTTGATTGTACGCCTGATGTGAGCCATCAAGAACAAATGACCCTCATAGTTCGATGTGTTAATATATTAAATAACAAAGTTAAAATTGAGGAGTTTTTTTTGGAGTTTCTAAAAGTGGATGATACATCTGGATTAGGACTCTTTAATGAACTACAAAATGTTTTGAAGTCTCTTGATCTTAATGTTGATGATGTGAGGGGACAAGGTTATGATAACGGTTCTAATATGAAAGGAAAGCACCAAGGTGTTCAAAAAAGATTTCTTGAAATTAATCCAAAGCATTATACATGTCTTGTGCTTGTCATAGTCTAAATCTCACTCTTGGTGATATGGCACATTCTTGTGTTAAAGCTATTTCTTTTTTTGGAGTTGTTCAACGCATATATGCATTGTTTTCGGGTTCTACAAAGAGATGGAAAATTTTACTTGATAATGTTCCTGAATTAACTGTGAAATATTTATCAAATACTCGATGGGAGAGTCGAATTAAAAGTGTCAAAGCTATTAGATTTCAATGTCCCCAAATAAGATTGGCTTTGTGTGAGTTATATGAATCTTGTGAAAATGATGCAAAGTCAAAAAGTGAAGCTGAAAGTTTGGTGAATGCACTCTCAAGTTTTGAGTTTTTGCTTGGTGTTGTGATTTGGTATGACATTTTATTTTCTGTTAATATGGTAAGCAAGAAATTACAATCTAAGTCTATGTGCATTGATACTACCATAAGGCAATTAGAAGGTGTGATGTTCTACTTTGAAAAATATAGAGATGAAGGCTTTACAACTAGTATGAATGTAGCTAAAAGTCTTGCTCTTGAAATGGATGTGGAGCCTATCTTTCACACAAAACGTTGTGTGATTAGGAAGAAATTTTTTGGAGAGAATAATGAGGATAACGAAGTTGAATCGCCTGAAGAGTCATTTAGAGTCAATTATTTTTTGGTTGTGGTAGATATGGCAATTACTTCTTTGAAGAATAGATTTGAGAAATTGAAGACATTTGAAAGTATTTTTGGATTTTTATATGATTCAAATAAGTTAAAGTCATTAGATGATAATGAGTTGAAAGAATGTTGTGTTCATTTTCATTCTACCTTTTCTCATGGCAATTCATCGGATGTTGACTTAGATGATCTTTTCTCTGAATTGAAAGTCTTACAAATGACTTTGCCGACAGAATTGTTATCCGCCATTGAAATTCTTAAGTTTGTCAAATTTGCAGATTGTTATCCGAATGCTTCAATTGCTTATAGGATTTTATTAACTGTGCCTGTGACTGTAGCTTCAGCCGAAAGAAGTTTCTCAAAGCTTAAATTAATAAAAACGTACTTGAGGTCATCAATGTCACAAGAAAGGTTGAATGGTTTAGCAATATTAGCTATTGAGAAGGAGATGATAGGAAACATTGATGTTGATGTTATTATCAATGACTTTGCATCTCAAAATGCTAGAAGAACCCGTTTCTTATGAGAATTTGTGTATGTTGTTTTGTAGGTGAGACGTCAATTTTTGATTGAGAGAAACGATTCTAAGAGATGATTGAAGATATAATAGGAGTAAATTGAGTGAAAAATTGTTATGTCTCTTTATATATTTGGTAAAATAATGTTGGTTAATGTAATAGAATCTACTCGTATATTTTTTAATAAAAAAAATTTGTTTGGCGTTTACCGAAATTTATTCTTGAATTTTAAATTATTTTTTTAAGGGCCATTTTCTCTTATTTTGCCTAGGGCCCTTAAAATATCAAGACCGGCCCTGGATGTTATTTATCACTTTCTCTAATAATATCAGCACATAATGAGATGAAATTGGAAAAGTAATACAAAGAAAAGAAAAACTTTGAATTTCCAGACTATAAATTCACGAAATAAGTCGCCAGTGTCCGTGGGGACTTCCCCACCAGCTTTGGCTTTGGCCAACGGCTGAATCATTGTAAAAGCTGCCAGTCAGAATCCCTAACAGTAGTGAACCCGAAGAGCTTTAGGAACTCAAAACTTTAACAATCCAAAATAAGTAATGCATTGTATAATGAAAATAAACAACCGTAATACAGACAGAACACCCATTGCAGTGTATCTTTATGTTGACCAAAATCAATGATCATCGACAAATTTCAACACCCTTTAACCTATTAATATATCAATTATCAGAACTACTATTCACAAATTTCCAATTATTGAACCATCTTCATTGGATACAATCAAAATAAAGGAATGAGCTAGAAATCCTACCCCAGATGCCGAAATTTTAAAAAAAAATCAATAAAACAAGCAATAACTACCAAATTAAGCTTGACAAATTAAGCAATTACATGTCCGGAAAAATACGAAATTTTCTACAAAATTAATCAATTTACAGCACCAATTCAAAATTTGAAGAGATGTATGTAGAAAAATAGCGTACCTCAATTTGACAAGCTGGGGAAAGAAAACTGATCTTCAATTCAATTTAGGGCTTTGAATTTCGTTATTTGTTTGTTTGTTTTTATGTGAAAATGCAACTGTCATTTCTGCGTCGATGCGCTAGCGCTAGCGGTGCTCCTTCTGGCCAGGGATGGATTTGATTGAAAATAAACAAAACTTTGCGTTAATTTTGACCTCTTACTACGGCTGTAAATGAGACGAGACAGATTGTAAGATACTTGAGATCAATTCGATCAAGACTCATAAATACTTATATCGAATGGATTCGACTCGAGCTCTACGAGTTCTTAACGAGCTGAAACGAGCTACTTGATATTCGACTCGAAAAGCTTGTGAGAAGCTCGAAAACATAATATATTAAGATTTTATTTTTTTAAAAATAAATTATTAATAATATTAACATTTATGTATTGATTTTTTAAAAAATACAGTAAGATTTTCATGTATTTAAGGTTCATGTTCGAGTTTGAGTTTGAGGCTTTAATCGAGTTAAGTTTAAGAAATTTTTTCTTCATTTCGAGCCTTTTCGAGCTGCTCACGAGCTTCAGTTCAGGATTTCGAGTTTGAGTCGAGCTTAAAAATTTTAAGCTCGCGAGTTTTCGAGTTGAGTCGAACTTCATTTAAGAGTTTTCGAGTCGAGTCGAGCTCAGCACTACTCGAACTCGACTCGGCTCGTTTACACCCCTACCTCTTACGTCAACACTGGCCCTCTATTTTTCTGTATATTCTCTTTCGAGTCGCTTCCTTGAGGTTAAATTTTGGCTTTGCGATATAAAATTTTAAATAGTTCCCCCTTCTTCTTCTTCTTCTTCTATTTTTCTGTATATTCTCTTTCGAGTCGCTTCCTTGAGGTTAAATTTTGGCTTTGCGATATAAAATTTTAAATAGTTCCCCCTTCTTCTTCTTCTTCTTCTTCTTCTTCTTCTTCTTCTTCCCCCTTCTTCTTCTTCTTCTTCTTCTTCTATAAGACTCGAGTTTAATAAATTTTAATTTAATATGATTGTATAAGATCTATATTTTTAAAAATTCAAATTTAGATTGGCCAAGTTTGTTTTAAATTCAAATTTAGATTGTGTCAAGTTGTGCTTTTTGGATGAGAATATTATATCGGATTTGGATTAAGGTAAAAAAATTGAATTCGATCTAAGATATTAGTGTAATCATCTCTTACATTTAAGGATAATTGTAATAATACTACATATATTATTAGGTCGAATCGGTTGCGAATTTTTATTTCAATAAAGATTGAGTGGAACCTTTTTAAATCCATAACGGATGACCAATAAAAATATATATTACTTTGATTGAGTTGGAATAGATTAAAAATATGATCTATAATAATTATTATTAAAATCAATCGATATAAATATAACATAATAATATGGATATAACATGTTAAGATCCATTTTACTACTATTCTATCAATTACTTCACTATGGTAAATGTACGACTCATTTTATAACTTGTGTGTAAACCATACTTATGAAAAGTGATCAGTGGTCATTCAGGTTATATTATACAGTGATGGATGAAAAAGCAATGAAGGAAAGCTTAATTAGATTTAAATTTTAAAAAAAAATATTTACTGTTTGTAAATTTAATCTTGTTTGATTCAATTTAAAAAGTTCATAATAAAACATTTGATGTAAAAAGTATTTAGAAGAAAAAAAATTGAGGATATGTAATGAATGTAGAGATCAAAAGATTATTGTGCTTATAATCATTTATATGTATTTAAAATTCTAAAAATTGATGTACTTTCGTATATTTATTTTGTTATTTATCATCAACTATAATGATTTTTATTATTATTTTATGATAGTTTATTTATTATTGTCTATAATGTAAATATAATTATTTAATAGAGTAAGAGCTTTGATAAAAATCTAATAACTTGTGGGGCATGAAGTAGTTTTAAATTTGGAGGGAAATTTAGGGAAAATATTAAATGCATTTAGAGTCGGTCTAAACCAAGAATCTTGAAAAATAAAGACTAACACCTAATTTAAATTAAAATAATATATATCAATTAAATTTGAAATTAATAATTTAATCTAATGATAAATTTATTATAATTATAATATAATTTTATAAATATTATTTATAAATTATTTTAAAATATTATTTATAATATAAATATTTATATTTTTTCTATTTTTTAATTTTATAAAATTATAATATATTTGTCTCACTAGATTTGCCCTTTATTGATTTTTTTTAAATTTAAAGTTCTTAAACTTTGATCATGATTATTTTAAATATTTAAAATAATATATTCTATAAAATATATATTTAAAAACTATTTAATTGAAAGTTTTTAAAATATTTTTTTTAATATTTTTATTACTAATAAAATTTAAATAATAATAAATCATTTAAAAATTAATAAAGGATAATTTAAATGGAATGAAGGATGAATTATATATTTATATCATATATACTATATGTATATAATTTTTATAACATTAATATAAGGCATAGGATTCGTTACAGCTGGTGTGGTGCACCCTATGCAGGTACACTTTAAATTGAAATATGTTCTAAAAATGAGTGTGATATCAGTCGGTGAATGTTTTTTCTTTCTAATAAGGTACGTAAATAATCATATTAAAATAATATAATTTCGATTAATTAGTTTTTATGGTTCATTCTTATATAACTTGTTGTTAAGGTATCTAAGTGCTTAAAATATTTATTATTATTATTTTTATAGGTTTAAAATTTGAACATCGGATATATCCCGAATATCATAAAACACATGCATTTCAAATTTATTTAATAGTCATAATATCCCTAATCTGCTAATACTAACACACCTCAACCACAGACTTTTAAAGTAGAAAAACACAAAACACAGAGGAATAAGAAATGACGACAGATCAACTGAGTACCGAATTCGCTTTTTTAGTTCTTCTTCAAGCTTTGAAGAAGCTTTTTCATCATATCATCGCACCTCCCACCAGCCTCTGTTGTTTTCTTAGCCACTTCTTTCATTCTTTTAGCGTTAGTTCTCACTGTTTGATTCTCCATCACCTCCTTTATTTTGTTCCCAATCTCCTCTCCTTTCACCAAATGGTTATTCATTCCCCATCCCCAGTTCTTCATGCAAACCCCCCACCCAGCTGCCTCCATAACCTCCCCAGCGATCATGTGGTCCCCACCATGCGGCCATCCCAGGATTGGGATCCCATGGCAAGATGTTTCCACCACCGAGTTCCATCCACAATGGCTTAGGAACAAACCTACTGCTTTGTGACTCAGTACCTGCCATTGATCCACCCACTCTTTCACAACGAACGCTTCGTTCTTCTTCACTTTGTTCATCACTTGGTGTTCTATAATCTCATCTAGGTCGTCTCCTTTTTCTTCTTTGTCAACAACTTTAGTCCTTACAACCCACAAAAAACTTATATTCGCTTAGTATTAGTCCACTGCCTAGCTCCCTTATTTGCTCTTTAGACATCGCTGACTTACTGCCGAAGCTGACGAAAACCACTGAGCTTTCCTTCTGATTGTCCAGCCACTTCATGAATGGTGAAGACGATGACGAAGATCCCCCCTCGAATGGCAATGGCAGAAACGGTCCAAGGGGGAAAGCTGGCGGCAAGCCGTCTGTTAATTCTGCAGCAGCAAGCATCTCAAAGCATTCCTTTTCGAGCCCTTCGAATGAATTGATCAGAACGCCATCGAAACGCTTGATGCTCTTGCTGGCGTTTGAGAAATTCTTTGCGAAGTAGCTGTTCGGGTCCAAAAGCGGCGGAGGAATCGATGTCTTCGGGATCGATGAAGGGATAGAAGGAAAAGAAGAGACCAGGGAAAACATTCGAGCCGACGAAATGGAGAGAATATAGTTAGGTAGATGGAGATTTTCAGTGATTTCGATCACAGACGACAGTAATGTTATATCGGTGACGACGAAGGAGAGTGGAGGAGACGATGAAGAGAGGATAGGAGAAAACAAGTGAGCAGAGTGGCAAATGGTTGCCCATTGGAGTGCAAAAGGGTCAGTGGTATTAACAGTGGTGGGATCGATGGGGATGACAG